AGCTTTGGTAAATGTAACGCCCTCGACACTCTTGGCCCCTTGGCTTCTTCGGCAGTATACTGGGGGCTTACAGCCACTCTGCTGTCACGAATCTGGGAGGTTTTTTTTGGTAGTGCTTTTAAATTATACAAACAGATAAATGCAGTTGTGAAATCCAGTTTCTAAGACTTATTGTCAAGGTTAAGTGTCGTCTCCTTTTCAGAAACCTTGAAAAGGTCATTCATGTTTTTATTACTGTATGAAACCTGCCCTGAAAATCTGACCTTGCAAGTAAATACCGGTTAAAAATCTTCTCTTCAAGTAGTGCCTTGAATATTAAAAAAGCTTGTGTCTAGTAATTGTTTTGTTTATTGTACCTTCAACTTAAAGATGTACATTTGACTTTCTTAGTGAATATCACAAAGCCTAATGCAAGAATAATTTATACCATAATATGCACACACACAAACACATATATACATATACATATGTATATGTATCTGTATATATGTGTATGTATCTGTATATACATATATACATATATATATATATATATACATATATATATATATATATGTATATGTATATATATGTGTATATGTATACATGTATATATGTATACAGATACATATACATATATACACACATATATACATATATATATATATGTATATGTATATATGTATATATATATGTATATATGTATATATGTGTTTGTGTGTGTGCATATAATGGTATAAATTATTCTTGCATTAGGCTTTGTGATATTCACTAAAAAAGTCAAATGTACATCTTTAAGTTGAAGGTACAATAAACAAAACAATTACTAGACACAAGCTTTTTTAATATTCAAGGCACGGTAAACGCTCCTTGCCTGTGGAGCTGGGCTGCAGCCCATCAGGGTAAATGCTCGAGCATGAAGTCTCAACTGTCTGCGCAGTTTCCACACGGCTCACTGACTTCACAAGGTACGTACGAGTATGTGGGAGGAGCCTCAAATGTTTTGCTGCCACGACAGCTTATTGTTTTGTCTTTAATTAAAGTGCTTTCATTTTATGCTCTGGGTCTCCGAGTCGTGCCTGCACCACTGGGTTCTGCTTCAAAACCACCGCTTTTCATGACAAATGCCTGTGTAATTAATTTTCATTCATTTATGTGTTACTGATCTGGTGTGGGATGGCAGGGGTGGGAGGGGTTTTGTGTTTTAAATGTTCAAAATGAAAAATTAATAAAGACTTTGATTTAAAAAATAAAATAGAATAACAGGACCTTTCCGGAACTCCAAAACATTATCTGTTCTGCTCTCTGCAC